TCTGCCATCACGTAATGTCGCATACTGCTGTTTCTGATGTCATTTAAAAAAAAAAAAAAAAAAAAAAAGAAGTATCAAATCTCACATGGTAACAATAGCAGGACAAACTTAACACTTCAGGGGGGAAAATGCTTTGATGTTTATGTATTTGAGTTCTTGGAAAGGGGCTCATGAAAGAAAGAAAGAAAGAAAGAAAGAAAGAAAGAAAGAAAGAAAGAAAGAAAGAAAGAAAGTGTACTTTATTGGTCCCCGTGGGGAAAAGCAACAACATCAAATTAAAAATTACACTCACCAGCCACCTCATTATAGATACATGTTCAACGAGTTGCTGCCATATGACTGTCTGATTAGATATCTGTATTAACAACCAGTGGAAGTTCAAAATGAGCATCACAATGGGGAAGAAAAGTCATTAAAGTGACTCTGAACGTGGCATGGCATTTAGTCTGAATATTTTAGAAAGTGATGATCTTCTGGCATTTTCCCACACAGCCATCTGTAGAGTTTACACAAAACAGTCTGCAAAACAAAATATATCCAGTGAGTAACAGTTCTCTAGGAGAAAATGATGATGTCAGAGGTTAGAGAAGAATAGGCAGAAGAAAACTTTGCCTGGTTTAATGAGTCTTAATTTCTGCTGTGACGCTCGAATAGTAGGGTCAGCATGGGTCTATGCACACTTTTGGTCCCTTAGTACCAACTGAGCATCATTTAAGTACCACAGCCTACCTGAGTGTCGTTGCTGACCACCCTTTTATGACCACAGTGTACCATCTTCTAATGGCTGCTTCCAGCAGGGTGTCACAAAGCTCAGATCATCTCAGACTGGTTTCTTGAACATGACGATGAGTTCACTGTACTCACATGGCTTCCACAATCACCAGATCTGAATCTAACAGGGCTGGGATGTGGTGGTTTTTGATCTGTAACTGACAAATCTGCAGCAACTGTGTAATGCTGTCATGTTAATACAGACCATAGATGAATCTATCCGGTTGTTCAGTCTGATGTCACTAGCCGTGTCTGGGTCTAAAGTCCGCTGCAGGTCCATATATCAAACGATAACTATGGCATTACTGAAAGTTGAAAAACTGTCTAAAGTCTTTCATCTTTAATAAAATGATCAGCGTTCTGCTCTACCAGGTGTAACAATTGAGTTTAACATCCAGACATCCATGAAAACGGAATTTATGACATTTAACGGAGTTAGAAGTTAGCAGGGAGTTAGCTTGCTAGCTTCTATCTAAATACAATATAGCATGTCCTGACTGCGGGGTTTTGGAAACAAATTAAAACGTACAGCTCTGCTATCACTTCCAGCATAAATGAAGACAGAAAACTAAACAGCAGTGACGTTTGTAGGGTTACTGAAGTTTGGCTAGCTGGTATATAATGATGTGCTACATGACCGCTAGCGACACAGCTATGTTAGCATAATATAAACAAGCTAACTTTTTTTCCACTCGATAAAAGTTACCGTGAGTGTTCTCGGTGGTCAGGAACAAATGTAATCGCATGGCAGGATGCTGTAAAAGGACCAAACTTCAGCCAGGAGAACAACTGAGATAATCCATCCACAATACGAGGTTAGTCATTCATATACTGCTGCATGGGCTGGGCTGTAGTTACATCCTAAGGTTTTAAAAACTGAGCTTAAATAAATGATAGCGGTAATAAAAGCCGAGGGAGGTCAACAGTGATCACTGACTGTTTTAGGAGCTTTTTGAGATCAAATAGAAGAAAATACATAACATTAACCCCTTAGCAGTCCTATTAGTCCCCTAAACCATCCAATGTCCCGTGGGCGGTACGTCCGACTGCTAACAGTTTAAACATGTTAACAACACAAAAGCCATATTAAACGCAGACTACTTTAGACCCGGAAGTAGGATTCGTCGCGTCATCACTGAACAACCGGATATCTTCGTGGCATTGATGAATCTATGCCATGAAGAATCAAGACAGGTTTGAAGGCAACAGGGAGTCTAACCTGGATCTAGAATGATTTAAGTAAAAAAGTTTTGATTAGAAGCTGAGTGTATTTTTTTAAAAAGCTCTTGATCACATTTAAAGCCTCAGAGGAATTTACCTCAGTTTGATTTCGAAATAAGTCCAACAAAAACATCAATATACAACAGCCTTCAGCTGAAACAAGAAAAGATATAAAGGTAGATACAGAACCTACATAAAGTTCAAAAAGAAGGTAAAGGCTAACCTTAGTATAGATTATCTGATGTGGGATGCAGAAAAACTGAGATCTGTATCTAGCTAATGGTAAAACCAACATTGTGTCCTTGAACACTTATCTGAAAACTCATTAGAATCTAGTATTAGAATAATAATAATATATAATATAACAGACAGGTGAAAATCTAAAATTACAGGGGGGCACGAATACTTCCTCGTGCTACACCAAAGCTTTATTAAAAAATTAATTCTGGTCATCTATGGATGTGTCAGCTGTGTAATTTCTCATAAACATGACTAAACCATGCCTGCAGTCATCTTTAAACAGCCATATCGCTTTTTAAAAATATCATATAAGGATTATTATCAGCATATAAGTGACAACACATACAGACAGATGCAGGAGGCCCAGAATATTGCTTTATGACACATACAAGTTTTATTAGAATATTTTGATATAATTTATTTATTCTTTACTTGTTTCATTTCCAATAATCAGCAGACGGTGTAGATTTTGAGGATATTTTGAAAGTTGAATGGCTGTAGCCCAAGTCTATGACAGTCAGTGGTTACATGTTGTTGCTGTTACTCACGGAAAATCAATACTGATTGCAGAGGAAGGGATAACAGGCGTAGCTCAAAGTCAATATGAATCGTCACTCTCCTACTTTGCCTCTTTAATGTCCGCATGAAAGAGATTCTTACATTTCTAAGTTGTGGTGTTTCTCGGAGTCATTTTAGCACTTTTATTCTAGTCTTTTATGCTGATTTTCTACTTTAGCTCAAGATGGCCTAGACTGAAGTCTGTGAATTGGAAACTCAAGGAACATGAGAGGCAATAAGCTGCATATTGCAACTTAGTGTTGTGCAAAAGTCTCGAGTCACTTGTTATTTCTTTATATTCTTCCCCCCAAAAAAGAAAAACAGGTGTAGCAATTTACACTGAAACAGCAAAAGAACACTATTCATTTTGGAATTTCCTGTATTTTGTGACTTAATAATTGCAGTGATGGTAGACACTGGTACTGCTGAGCCACCAGGACAACCCTTTATGAGTCCGAGTTTCACAACTAACATGGAAAAGTTGAATTATGCTGCCAGCTCTTCCATCTCTTTCCCCACATGTGTGACCACTTTCATCCTCTCATCAACAATCAGTGGGATTGACTGTCAGTGCGATCTTCTCTCACTCTCTCCTTCACGCCTCTCTGCCTCCATTAGGACCCTGGTACCCTGATAGGGGATGTGGGTGGATATGAGGACAGGCTCTGTTTGGCAGGAGTGTTGGGGGTAGGGGTGGGGGTACATTTACTGGATCAGCCTGGGTTCATCACCTTGCTGGAGGCCATAGGCGGCGGGGGGGTTGACTCTACTTATAGGGCCTTGGGAGCTGTCCCAACTCTCAGTGTGCCCAAAATCTGCCATCTTGGTCCTAAACTCCCAGACTGCACCCAACCTGCTCTGCCCTGATCAGGAGCATCCCTACATCTTAACCGGTAAGCAGTTTAACCTTTGACCTTTTGGTCCTTGTGGCCATTAACACTCCATCTCAAAACATTCCACAGATTCTCAAAGGACTGTCGTACTTAGAACCAGCAAAGATTAGACTTAATTATACAAGGGTGTTACATAAACTAGCTTTTTTTGATGGTTACCACTACTCTTGGATCTTTTTGGAGTTCTGAAGATGAGCCAAGACATTTTTTTTTGGGGGGGGGG